TGGTAGTCTCACTGGATATTCTGAGAGATGGTGGACGAATCGAGTACTTAGGGAACCCTACCGTGAACGTTATCTCATACCGGACGGGGTATCCAGAATTGATACTTTAGCGTTCATACCGAACAGGAAATGGAGACGGCCGGTTAGTTGACAATATTAAATAAGGGTTCACACGTAGTGGAAACATCTCTATGAACCCTCATAAATACTAGTAGGCAGATAAAAAAAGGAAAAGTTGTTCTGGTTAATTGAATATGAAATTATGATGTTGTTTGTGTTATGACCTCTATAGGTCGGTTTTGAAAATCTCGCTACGGTAAATATGTAATAAATGATTTTATTTATGATAAATAAATTTATTTAAAATAAGAGATTCATTTGCTGTTTTTATAATTTTTACCAACCTTCATTTCTGTATCAGTGAGTAGTATGACATTTTTACTGAGTTAGTGTACCTCACTTTTTCATTAACCATTTCAGATCAACAAGACCAAGATCCAGATCCCGATCCATAAGAGAATTGCGAATAGGATGCACAATTGTTTATTTTCTATTTATTTCTTTAATTTTTCGTTTGTTCTTTTACAATCTCATAACCCTATTGGATATTCTAAATTATTGTGTAAGAAATGTCTAACCCTAACTTTATTATTTCACTTCTGCTTTCAATTTATAAGTGATTTTCTTTTAACTTCTGGGTTGTTGCACTTCCAACATCAAGTCATGATTTTGTTCGCTGAACTGAAAAAGAGAATGAGGGAGAAGAAGAAAAACGAGGAAACCACTAGAAGAGCAAGGGAAAGACAAAGTGAGGGGGATAAAGGAATTAAAAAGACTTCAGTATTCCATTAATTATGATGGCAGGAAAAAGAAGAACAAGAAGTTTGGGGGAGAGTTAAGTTTGTTATAAATGTTAGAAAGAACACTCTCTTAAAATGTGCAGGGGCTAAATGACTCAAGAAGGAGGAACATTATTAAGGGTTGCTTAAGCAGATGGAAGCTGTCAATAGTATGATTTCAAGAGGCCAAGCTTGAGGCTGTCAGTGATAGAATCATCAGAAGCCTTTAGCAGCTGGATGAAGTGGGATGGCAATCCCTTTCGGCCCGAGACACTGATGGCGGTATACTGTTGATGTGGAACAAGGAAAAAGTGGACTGCAAGGATACAATAATTGGTGAGACTACAATTTCATGTCTTTTTGCCAGTGTGTGGAGGTGATTGGTTCTTTTTGGGTGTTTACTGTAGGGGCAATGCTGAAGATCGTTCATTGTTAAGGAGCAAATTGACTAACTGCTAAAGAATGTAAGGGAGAATGGATGTGGTAGGGAGAGACTTCAATATGAATTTGAGACAAAGTGAAAGGTTCAAGAAGCATTTTTTTGTTTCTTATCCTCAGGAATTTAGAGAAAACATTGAGCAACTCAATCTTCTAGATATACTACTCAAGGGAGGCACATGGACAAGGAGTAATCAAAGAGACAACCCTTCCTTCTCCAAAATTGATCACTTCTTAATTGCCCCTGAATTCCTCCTCAAATACCCGACCTAAATAAAAAAATATTGTCTAGACCCATTAATGATTATTGTCCTATTTTATTGGTCACTGATGGTATTATTTAGGGCCCTGTTCCCTTCCCATTTGACAATAAATGGTTGAAATTAGAAAGTTTCAAAGATTTGGTTAGAGATGTGTGGAAAAACACCAGTGTGGCTGGTACTGCAAGTTACATAATCGTCTTCAAATTTAAAAAACTAAAATCTGATATTAAAAAGTGGGGCTTAAGGAGGAGGGAACATCAATGAAATCATGCTGGAGCTAAATGAACTGGATAAACAAGAGGGGGAATCGAATCTCAATATGGAGGAGAGGGCAAGAAGAAATGTTTTGAGGCTTGATTTGGCCAATAGACTTTATATAGAAGTAGTTTCGTGGAAGTAAAAATCGAGAAAAATATGACTAAAAGACGGGGATAAAAATGCCAAATACTTCAACTGTCTTGTTAATCACATAAGAAGAATTAATTATGTCGAAGAGATACTTATTGATGGTAAGACCATCTTGGGCAATGAAGCTATAAGAGAAGGTGTGAAAGTCTTCTACCAAAACCTATATAAGAAAGAGTTCTACCAAAGACCCAAACTCGAAAATCTTCAATTTGGGAGACTTGGTGAACTCAGCAGTAATTGATTAGAAATAAACTTTACCGAGGAGGAGATACTCGTTGGGCTCTGAGACTGCAATGGCGACAAGACGCCAAGCACGAAGGGTTTTAACCTAAAGTTCTTGGAAGTCTTTTGGCCATTGATTAAAGAAGATGTGATCGATATTTTAAGCGAGCTCCACAAATCTGTTAAATCTTTGAACTCCACTTTTGTTGGGGAGAGCCAAAATGCATTCGTGACTAGTAGGCAGATTACTAATGCATTTATAATTCCCAATGAGGTGGTAAACAAGCTTGTCAATAACAAAAGGTTTAGGGTGCTTCATAGACTAGATATGGAAAAAGTTTTTGATCATGTCCACTGAAATTTTGTGGATTACATGCTTGAAAGACACGGTCATGAGTAGAAATGGAGAAAATGGATAACATCGTGTATCACCACCCCTAGCTTTGTGGTTATGGTGAACGGTAGTCCCTCAACTTTCTTTCAAGCATCTAGGGGTTTGAGATAAGATGACACACTTTCCCTTTTATTAATTATTATTGTCTTGAAAGCATTAAATAAACTTTTCGAAAGGGCTAGAGATTTAAAGCTAGTGGAGAATATTAGCATGGGAAAAAGTAGGGATCAAATTGAAGTCACACCTCTTTTTTGCTGATGATTCACTAGTCTTCTGCAAACCAAAAGCTGATATGCTACTTAATTTGAGATATATTCTCCTATGTTTTCAGGCTGTTTCTGGGCTCAAAATCAACTTTGGCAAATATGAATTTGGTGGTATTGAGATGGGCAGTTCCGGAAAGCTCCTTGCCAAAGTTCTAAACCGCAATGAGAAATAGTTCCCCATTAAATATCTTGACCTCCCTCTGGGCGTTGAGTTTAAAGACAGGAGAGGTTGGGATTCGGTTGTCGACTTGGTTGATAAAAGACTTGCAGGTTGGAAGAGAAAATCCCTTCAAAATAAGGTAGATAGACACTCATCAAAAGTATGTTCTCAAACCTCCCCATTTACTATATGTTCATCAAAAGTATGTTCCTATTCAAAACAGATTCTTGTGGGAAGATGTCGATGGCAAAAGAGGGTATCATCTTGTGAAATGGAAGGAGGTGAAGTGCCCTATCAAATTGGGTGGGTTGAGACTAAGAACGATCACTGTTTTGAACAAAGCACTTCATGAAATGGGTTTGGAGGTACTTCAATGACGAAAACAGTCTTTGGAAGAGGATCATTGATATTAAATGAATGAGGGGGCGCACTGATGGCAGCTTCACTTTAGCAAATAGACCTCATGGCATGAGTCTATAGAAAGATATAATTTAATACAGAAAAAATGGATTGAGTACACTTGCTGGGATGTTGGGAGAGGGGACAGAGTTAGATTTTGGCAGGAGAAATGGTGCGGGGAGGAAAGCCTCATGTCCATATTCCCCATGATTTATGCTATTGCACAGGATAAACATTTATTTGTTGGGGAAGCTTTCAAGCATTCCGATAATCGGGTACGTGTAGTGGTGGTTAATAGAAATATGCAAGACTGGGAGGTGGCTGAATATGAGAACTTTTTACAACTAATGGCCACTGTCCGCCTTAACAGCAGGAGAGACAGGTTGTGTTGAAACCAGAAAGAAAATGGCAGCTTCCTGGTCAGCTCATTTTATAGACAATTAGTTAGATGTAGAGAAGCGAGGGGCGTGATGCTCCCGTATAAGACCATTTGGAAGGTGCATGCCCCCCAAGAATATCTTCTTTTGCATGGGAGGCGGCTAAAGAGCGTATTTTGACTATTGCTAACTGATGAAAAGAGGAAAAATTATGATGAACAGATGCTTCCTTTGCAAGTGCACTACCGAGTCCTACAATCACCTACTGCTTTGGTGCCTTTTCTCCTACATCCTTTGGACACTTGTTTACAGTCTTATGGGAATCAATTGGGTAATGGCGGGTTCGGTGAACAACAAATTATTTGCATGGGAGGGCCTTACTAGCAACAAATTATTTGTCCATCTTTTGGGTTATTTGGAAGGAAGATATTTTTGAGGGGAAGGAAGATATTTTTGTGAATATTAAAGATAGGTGGTTTCATTATTTTGGTTCTGTTATGTTGGGACAAAATCTCTATAGTTTGGAAGATTTTGAGGTAGTTGTTAATATACTTATTGACATCTAAATTTTTGTACATGGATGACACTCCCTTGGTGCCATTTACTTAATACACGTCTTACATTTTTTATTTAAAAAAAAAAATCAATACTACAATTTAATAGCTAATCAAGTTCCACATCAAAACATATTAATTGAAAGAGAAATCAATTTTCCTTGACATCCTATTAAGATCCACAAAAAAAAAAAAGACACGATGATGTGAAGCAATCTAGAGGATACAGCATCCACTAGCCCATATAATGAACTCTCAATCAGTTAGAGAATAAAGAGGTTAAACAGATAGCTTCACTTGCCTTAGATATTGCCTTCAAATCAGGTCGCTTTGCCTTTGCCTTGACAATATCTTCAGCCACAACCTTATCCTACATAAATCTGAGTATCAATAACCAATAAGAAAAAACATTTGGACAAAGATTCAAAGAGAGAAAGAGACAGAGAAATCTGCCCTATTATTACTTGAAGCTTTTTATTGGTTTTCCTGAAACAAAGGGCTTGGCAAACTTGAGGAATAAAGCCATATAACACTGGCGCACAGATAATCACTTGTCATTATCATAGCTCAGCGTACTTGCAGATTGACTTAACAGTTATCTTTTTAAAAAGAAAACAATGCATATCAAACTTAACCAAAATATAGACCTCGTACTAAGATCTCAAAGTCTCTTCAGTTTATATTCGTGACCAGTGACCACAGACATTCCCTTGTTGTTGGAATATCTTGAGTTACCTTTAATGATCAGAAGAGCAAAAGAATTTATCAACATAGTCCTTTCCACAATAATTTTGTAAACGACTATTTTTAATATTAAAAACCTCGATAAGAAAATATAAATGCTGACTGTCTTTTGTTTCTGATTGTACAAGGTCAGGCCGTCAGGTTAAAGGTAGGGGGGAGCAGAGAAGAGAGTCGTTTACAACACTTAGAATAACTCTGTGCAAAACATGTCTACGACAATAACATGCAAGCTTGGAGATGAAATCTTCTCAATTAGTAGGTACGAACTGAAACAAAACCAGTATAAGTACCTTAGATTTTCTTTTCTTAGCTTTGGTCTTGCTTTTCTTATCAGCTTCGGCCTTTTTACATCTCATTTCCTCGTCCTGTGTAACAAAAACACATAAATGCAAATTCACTTTAGCAGTTAAGCGGCTCAAAAAAATGGGATTAAATAAGAACTTAATCCAAAATAATACATAGAATACTATGCTCTTTACTGGAGACTACAGTTTACAAGTAAAGTGATCAGTCTGAAATTACAAAACGTAGAAATAATAGAAATTCTGATAAAGAACAACCCAGCGTAGGACACACCTGAATCAAATGCAGATAATATTTGTTGAACAGCCTGAGGGTTTTTTTCACTTTAGCATGCGGGCCAGTCTCCACCAAATTAGCTGCATTGCCCTGCTCGACTACTCTATTTTCACCTCCACTAGATTCCGCTTTCAGCGATCCACCCTCCTCACTCTCTTCCCTGTCACGTGATTCCAAAACCTCCGAACCCGCTAGTCCGATCGCAGCATCATCCTTTTTCGGACTTTGTTTCCCCCTACTCCTCTCAGTGGCTCTCTTCTTCTTACTCCCACCATCATCGCCCACAACCTGGACTCGTTTCTGAACCAGCTGCTTCTCCGCTCTCTGCTTGTCTTGTATCCTCCGACTCGTTCGCCTCCCCGGCAAACCCTCACTCTTCCCGTTTTCCATCCCTTTCTCTTCCGAAGCAAGCGTCTCAGCTCGAGAAGCATTTAAAAGGTGATTTCCAGTGTCCGGCAAAGAATTCTGAGGGGAATCCCGGGAACGCAGCGAGCGAGCCACCATTATCTTGTTGAAAAACAGACCAAAAGTCCCAACAACAAGAGGAGACGTGATAGAAGAGAGGAGACTTCGGAGAGGGAAGCAAAGCTGTAGATTATAAGATGGCAGGAGAAAAGATTTCTAGAGATGGATAAAGGAGTAGGGATTAAAGAGGAAGAGGAAGCGACATTGGAGAGAGTGAGAGTCACAAGGGGAAGAAAGGGAGAGAGAAAGAGGAGTAAGGGAGAGAGGGAAAAGGAGGATTGTTTTATATATTAAAATGCGGGAGAAGCATTTTTTTTCTTCTGAGGGGGAATGTATTTGAACGCTCGCTCTTCGGCTAATTTAATCTCCCCGCGGTTTCTTCTTCCTCCCAATTGTTGCGAGACTCAGACTGAGAATGAGAAGAGTTTCCTCAGAGAGAAAATTTTTATTTGAAAGTTTCCTCTGATGTTTTTTTTTTTTTTTAATTGTCATTAAATTTTATCTTCTATAAATAAATTAGAGTAAATATTTTTTGTATAATGAAAGTAATTATATGTATAAGGTTTTTTTTTTTAATTTATTATTATTATTATTTAGATATTTAATAAATTTTGTATGCAAGTGAACACAATAAAAAGGCCTCAAATGCATAAAAATGGCAATCTAATATGCAATTCACAATATTAACCTTAAATGGCAATCAAATATGCAATTCGTTTTACTTAATATGACACGTTTTATTTAAAATTTTAATTATTTTAAATTTACTTAAAAAAATCATACAGTCAAATTAGGCTCGTTTCATATATGTTAATTCAATAATCGAGTCAACCTATGTATTTGATTCATGTATATATTTCACACTTCTATATGTCTAATTTGTAATTTGTAATTTTTACATGTATTCAACTTAGAATAAATGAGTTTTTTGTCAAGTATTTTAAATATATGAACAAACTCAAATAAGGATAGTATTTTTATTAGATTCCTTTTTTAATTGTATTCAAATACGTAAATTATAATTTTAAATAAGATCGAGATCAAATAAATTTGATATATCATCATTCCTAAATAAACATAATTCATTTCATTTATGGAATATATTATTATATAAATTATATAACAATTGTCAATTTTCAATACTAAATTAATTGTTAGTTGTATTATTTTCTTAATATCTAATATAACCATAAGTTAGAGGTTTTTATTTTGAAAACAATTACCATTTAGCTGCTTAAAATACCAAAGAAAACGAATTACATTATTTTTACAATAAAGAAATTGTCATTTCTAATTATTACATTCTATTCGTAGGTTTTATGCTGGAGTAAATATTAATCTAAATATACTTTTGCAAGTTACTAAAAAAAAATTTCATACAATGAGTTAATAACTTGCGAATTATATGATATAATATTCATATATTGGAGTTGTTCGGCTCAAGTTTGAATTATATCTTTACTTATGTTATCAAAAAAGACTTCTCATAACAACGGCACGAAGGGAGAGATTTAATAGGCAAGTTTAGTAGTTTTCGTAAGCACTTACGCTTCATCATTTTAAGCAAGCTTTTAGAAAAAGAATCTCACAGAGTCAGTGCAGCATGAGATATTCCACAATGTCTCAGATGTGTGTAGTAGGCGATTTCATGAAATTGAAAGAATTTCATATATCTGCAAGGACCCTGCTTTTAAATTACAATTACTTTTAGAATTTCTTACAAACAACAAGGTTTATGGTGGATAAAACAATTCATCCATAACTGCTAATCAGAATTATAACCCTTGGTGAAGCTGTGGAAATTCCCCAGGTGGCATGTGATCATCAAGCTGGTGACTTTCCTCATTTGCCATCATCAGCAGAGATGGGTGCAACTCCGGACGGGGAAATAACAACTTCAAACGAAAGGCATCAACACCATTCAGATAGTAACGGAAGAGTCTTTTAGCTCTAATAAATCCTAGTCGGCCATAAAGTGCAAGTGCTCCTTTGTTTGTGACTTCTGCTTCCAGTGTAACCTTTGGATACAGATTAAAGTTAGAATCTGATGACCTTGACATTCATGTACCTCCAGCAAACATAAAGAAGATATAAAATTGCTACGGGCAAGAAAAACCAGAGAAAATTTGTAAATTTAAATGGGCAGAATTACAGGGTTTTTATAATCTCATCAACATTGTGAAATATGAGATTGTTTGGACAAAGTTTCGTACTAATCAGATTAAAGGTTGCCGAAAGAAACTTTGCATCATTCCCAGAGAGAGGCGTTTTTCTCCTGTCCTGCTTCAAATCCTAATACGAGTAGCTTGATAGGTCTCCTTACACTTCAAAGTATGAAGAGTAATAATTGCAAGCATAAGAAACCATTTTAGCAAGTGTAGCAATCAGTGATCATTCATTAGGAAGACCATATAACCAATGGCGAAGATCAGCTTGCAGCGATATCACAAGGTAACCAATTTCTCGAAAGTGATAGATTCACACGAAAAGGGCCAATGAAGGATTATATTGTCCATTGATAATCAACAGAGGCTAGGTAAAAACACGTGAACAGGACAAGTTTCAAGCAAACCAACAGGATAGACACACGGCTGTTTCAATCTTATATGCTATGGTTAATAAATATCAAGTTGTTTCCGACTCTCACACTCACTTGATGCTCCATTAGCAGAAAGAGTTTTGGAACATAAAAAGATTGGGAATATCGAGGATCTTCACATAATTCTGATTCCCCATCTGAAGCAAGATTTATTAACTTTCTTATATTCATTTTCCTTTTCCTCCTTGCAGTGAAAATTGTAACTTCGACAACTAACATAGTCTAGAGAATTATTGAAGCCAAAACCTATTGAATGGATGCATTTAATCAATGAGTGACTAGAAGGTAAAGAACTTAACCCTGTAAAATCAAAATTAAATAAAAACTCAACTGGTCAAATAAACAAAGCACGATAGCTCTAGTCATTATCCATAGACAAGGATAAATTCAGTAGCAAGCCAACTCTAGGTTCAATGGTTAAATTACTTTTCCCTAAAGGGGCTCATAAGCAATAATCTCAGCTTATCTGCAGCAAAAACATATTAGCCAAATTAGAAATGAACAGGTGACATACCTCTTCGCAGCCAGATTCCATCATCACTCTAATCGATCTGGTAACAAGTTCTGTAGCTGCAGAACACGAAAATCCAAGTTTAAATATGCACTAAGCGGCATAAAATTGTAAATTCTACAAGTAGTGAAGTATGGCGAAAAAAGGGATTCTTTTTTTGCCTAGAAATTAACTGTAAACTGGAATTTGAAACCTTCAAACTCAAAGACATTAAGCCATTATCCAACAAAGGCAGAATTCTAAGGTAAGGCAAAATTGAAGCCACGAAACCAAGTTGACCAGCGAGATTTCAATAAAGAAATAATCGGGTACAAGAAAAATGGAAGGAAAAATACCAATGCCTTTGCCTCGATAAGGCTTGATGACAACCAACATAGCAATGTAGCCTCTGAAAGTGTTTCGATGCTCCCCCATCTTGCAGACGACCGTGCCCACGCATCTACCTCTGTGAAACGCCTTTGAAAATAACGTAAATTTGGGCATCAAACATCAGGAGGGGTATAATCAGGGAAGAAGAAAGCAGAGAGTGAAAGTACTCACAAGGAAGGAGAGTTGAGGCCAGAGATAAACGAAGTAACGATAGGTGAAGATAGAGTAGGGTTCGCTGAGTTCTTGGTCGACTAAACCCATGATCAACGGCAGGTGATGCTCGCCGCCATAGCTGGTATATTCTACCTCCGAGGCTTCGAATTCTACTTTTCCTTCACTATCTTCTTCGTGGCTGCTGCTTTCCATTTCCGTCTCTTTCTCGCTCTGCCTGTTTCGACGTCTGTCGCGGTGAGCTTTCAGTTCCGAGGCAGAGAGAGGACTCGCGTGGGGGAAGATGACAGAAGAGGACGTACGAGAATCAGTCGTAGGGTTCAATGGACAGGCTCGGCCTGCAAATATCAGAAAATTTGGGCTCTATGTGAAAAAAATTAGCCCAAAATTAATTTTTTATATTTTATAAGCCCACAAAAAAGAAAAAAGAAGTCGGCTTTATTTTTGTTATTTTTATTGGGTGTTTTACATGGCAGAAGGATTTATAGTTTTTATTTTATTCAATATAATTATTTTATTGTAATTATAAAATAAAATAAAATAAAAAATCAATTCAACGAAAAATTATTGCTTACAATGAACCTATATATATATATATATTGGGAAATCAAAGTGACCAACAAATAATTGAACTGCATGCGTATTATTATTTCTCCTTGACAAAATCATGTAGGAAAAAAAAGGAAGAGATTTTATGGGATGAGAATGTCAATCAACTGCACCCACAAATTAGACTAGTTTATATCCTATATATATATATATATATATATAAACACACACATACACACACACTGACTAGAACGCTAGCAACTTTAAGAACGCCCATAATGTCCAACCTTTGCTACCCTTTTCAATTCATTGTGTCTACTTTTCTTTCCTGTTCTTTTCTTCATCTTCTCTTCTTGATCTTCTGCTTTTATGTTACTCATAAAAAGTCATGCACGCATATTGGTATATGTATATAGCTGAGATCTAGTGCTTCAATTCCTCCCTTGTTCTTGTGATATCTTCTGTCACACATACACATATATAAACACATATATTGAACCAGATGAAGGCTTAGATCTTCTCTCTTTTTTCTGTTGGGAGCAGCCTCAGGCATGGCTTATGACCAAAGTAATAATCCACTACGACTTCCATTAATGAAGTCTCCAGTAGCCGTGGTGGAAGATAACCCGCATCATATTCAACCTAATAATTATCAAGGTAATTTGTTTCTCCTATGTATATACGTATAATTTTTTATAATAACTTTAACTAGTTAAACACAGATTGTGATCATCAATGCTATAAGAAAGCATTCCATGCGTATAACTACATATATTTATATACATATAGTATCCTGATCATGACAAAATCTTTACTGGGTTATTATCACTAAGAGATGATTGAACATAATAAACGTATATATATATGTGTGTGTGTGTGTGTTGATGATGGAATGACTGAAAATGAAATATAGGAGAAAATAAAGTGCGGCCAAGAAGACAATACAGAGGTGTAAGGCAGAGGCCATGGGGAAAGTGGGCAGCCGAAATCCGAGACCCAAAAGAAGGCGGCGAGAGTCTGGCTTGGGACTTTTGAAACTGCAGAAGCTGCCGCCGCTGCTTATGACGCAGCTGCCTTTAAATTCAAAGGCAAAAAAAGCCAAGCTCAACTTCGACATTAGTGCTCGACCATCTTCATCATCCCAAGCTCCTCACCATTACTCCCCACAATCGCCGCATTTATCAAACAAGGCGTTTCCAAATCTTTTACAGTATGCCCAGCTGCTTTCTAGTAATTATGGTGATGATCATCATCATCACTCCGGCTTGCCATGAAGAGACTCTGCTAATGGTAACCGCCGGGATGATGATGTCCAGTCGATTTCTGGGTTTCTTTGCGGGGATGAAGAATGATTTTAATTCCCCTTTTCATGGTTGTAAATTAGTTACATTTTTCTTTGTATGATTTTATGGAAACTCAAGTCAAATTTTATATTATTATGCATTTTGTTTAAATTAAAATTTTAAGTTAATTAACATTATCGCAATAGCATTCTTCTATTTTATATATTTTAATTAGATTACTGGATTATATAATATTAGTCAAATTAATTACTATAACATAGTTTTATATTTGCAAATACTTGTATATATATTATAGTTTTAAACAAAATAAAAAATAAAAAAAATTATAATTTTAAAAGTAAATCGCCGTCTGTGGGAATCGAACCCACGACCACATGGTTAAAAGCCATGCGCTCTACCAGCTGAGCTAAGACGGCTGTGGGAATCGTGTCAATAGTTTTTATAACATCGCATTACTGCTTCGATTGGCGATTTTTGCCCAAAGCACATTTTAATACGTCGCCGTTTACAAAATGACGTGTCGATACTAGAGCCGCTACCTCCTGAGATGGTTACCGGTTTTCTTCCCCCTTCTCTTCCTGCTAATCTTCTGGGATTCCCAAATAGTTTGCAAAGGAATAGACTTTTTAGAGGAAGGGAATATCGAACTCCGAGGCCAGAAAATTGGTTTTCTAGTCAGATAGAGGAAAGAGAAAATCCCGCTGGTGGAAGAAGAAGAAGAAGAAGAAGAAGAAGAGATGTTAAGAGCAGCAGCTAGACGGCTCTCCAGTCTTGCTTCATCATCACCGTCATCCTCCTGGAAGCCCCACCATGCCCTTTCAGGATTCGTTTCCAGGAATCTGATTACCACCGGTGATTCGTCCGCTGATGATGTTAGATCAACGGGTGGCTTCACCAATTCTCTTCTCTTTCATCTTCCGTGCAGAGGTTAGGGTTCTTCTTTCTTAATTTTCATCTTCTTTGTTTCTAAATTTTCTTTTTGCTGCTGCAAATAGATCTTTATTGCTTCTACCTTGTAAAAGCTTTGATCTTTTTTTCCATATTATCCTAGCAAAATTCAGGGGTTGGGAGATGGTGGTCGTTGGGTTGTGTTTATCATTTAATGTCTGTTTTGGGCTGGTTTCACCAATTTACGGATTATTTTTGTGTTTTCATTTCACAATTTACCGATCGGTTATTGACTATATAATCTAGCTAGGTAGGAATTTTGTTTTGCTGATAAATCTGTAGGATCAATGACAAACTGGTGGAAGGCGAATGCACACTGATTTCGTCACGCGTATGAACTAGAGGAGGAAGCTTTAATATTTTTAGATAATCTCGTCCATTCAAACTTTAAGTTGCGCCTTTTTGCTGTTTATATCTATAGAAAAGGTTGCTAAGTTGCCTTGTTGCCATTCATTCACTTTTCTGTAGCGATTTGTGTTGTCACTTATGAAGTTATCATTGGTAAAACATATTCTTGGGTGAATTACTAATGTGAGGAGGTTGACACACCTATACTATAACTACATAACTCTCTAGGATTGATAAGCTGGCATTATGTGATTTGCATGTCATGATTTGTCTATTTCATGGATTCTTTTGCCCCCTAAGGAAATATTAACAAAGCATAAAAATTGAGAAGAGAGGTGCTTTTGAATTTACCAAGAGTACAAACTCTGAACTGAACTGACTTATATTGGCCTTTTCTTAAAGAAAAATACGAAAGATTTATTAGAAGGGCACTAAGGATTTATTAAAAAGAAGGAATTTACAAAAGATAATAATACAAAATATCAATGTGAAGGAGTTTACAGAAAATGATTGTACAAAATATCAATCCCCAAGGTCTTCTCCATGGAAGAGAGGATACCTCTAAACAAAATTCTCAAGGGCAGGAACCATTGATCTCTAAAGCAACCAAAATTAGAAACAAAATCCTTAGAGCTACTCTTATTTCGCTTTCTCTTTCTCTCTCTCTCTCCACAAATAGTCCATGAACAGCTTATTCTTCGACTTGTGGCCATGACTATGTCCAGACCATTCATCTTGAATGGACCCACTCTTCATCCACTTGAGAATCAACTGACTAATAGCTGTCACATAGTCTTTTCCCCTCAAAGCACCTTAAAAGAAAATGGTAAGGGGCTTTGTTTTTTCTTTCACAAAAATCGGGTACTAGTTTCTGGGATGCAATCTCTCTTTCTTGCAGTTGTCCCTTTTGAGAATGCAAACCTCAAGAGGCCTCCCACTCAAAGAAAGCCACAGAGCGGGAGGTTACCTTCCTATATGTGTTTCCATGGGAAACATCTCAAAGATTCTGTCCTATTTGAGCTACAAGAAGTAGTAAGATCTTAATGAGAAGTTGCCAATTTGTTAAATTCCATGCTGGTTCATCCTTTGTATTTTGACTCTCCGAAGAAGATTCAAGGTCAGCTATTTTGCCCTATTTTGGCAATTTCCTCGATCTCCCATTCAGTAAGATTCCGGGTTAGAACGACGTGCCAGTGTTGCCTCAGTTTTGAGGAAACAATCCCCTGAATTTTAGTGGCATTCTGAGCCGATTATTACCCTTCAAAGATTTAGCAAGATTATTATTAGTGTTAGTCTTAGTCCGTTTTTTTTTTTTGGGGTAGGATGGTCAAGGATTCTTTAGTTTTTTGCTTGAGATTAAATTTCCTCTCAAGCAAACCTTTCTAAAATGCTTAGTGCACCAAGTTTTTTGCTCCCATAGTATTATCCAGATTGTCAAAGATTGAGATTACTGTATTAACCCTTATGGGTTAGCATGTGCCCTGTTTCAAGTGCAATTAATTGGTCTAACTGCAATTGTGCATAGTGTTTTTAAGAGAGTATATACTGTTCTTTGTGTGTTCTTTTCTCCAGCATTACACTTTTCTATCTCTCTTGGCTGCTTGAGTGTTGGGAATATGCAGTGAAGATGTTATGTCCTTTGTCATGGTGGTTGTTTCAGGTTTTGCTTCCGAGTCACTTACTCCAAGAAATGAAAATAGCCTGACTATAGGTCTTCCTCCGACGGTGGCTGCTGTTCAGAACCCCAGCCCAAAGATTGTCTATGATGAGTACAACCATGAGCGTTACCCTCCAGGTGACCCCAGCAAGCGAGCATTTGCATATTTTGTTCTGAGTGGAGGTAGGTTTGTATATGCTTCACTGATCCGTCTTCTCATCCTCAAGCTTGTATTGAGCATGTCTGCCAGTAAGGATGTTCTTGCACTGGCGTCTATTGAGGTTGATCTTTCCAGCATTGAGCCAGGCACCACTGTGACTGTCAAGTGGCGTGGAAAGCCTGTCTTCATCAGGCGCCGAACTGAAGATGATATCAAGTTGGCAAACAGTGTTAATTTGGGATCTCTTCGCGACCCACAACCAGATGAAGAGAGAGTCAAGAATCCAGAATGGCTGGTTGTGGTTGGGGTCTGCACACATCTTGGTTGCATCCCTTTGCCCAATGCTGGTGATTTTGGAGGCTGGTTTTGCCCATGTCATGGATCTCATTATGACATATCAGGCAGGATTAGAAAAGGGCCGGCACCCTACAATCTGGAGGTACCTACTTACTCCTTCTTGGATGAGAACAAGTTGCTGATTGGTTGATAAGTTAAGGAAAGTGTCCCTGTTTCTTTGGATGTTAAGGTTTCTTTGCTTACCCAGATAATGTCGAAGACTTGTCAAATATCTTTTGTTTATTGCTCCCCATTCGGGTTGGTTAGAACCTATATGTAACCCTCAAACTGTAATTTGTTCTGATCAGTGCTGCTCTTAAGTTTGAATAAGTTGGCAAGCGTTTTCTGGAGCTTGCACAAACTTGGTGCTGGATTATCTCAGACATTATTATCATACAATTTTATTCAATATTTCTACAGTGTTCTGGTAAAATATTGTAATATAGTCATGCTGGCATGTGTCTGTGAGGACGGTACACCATGGCATTTATGAGGCATAGTTCCAATATACAAAATCATTCCCTTTCAACTGAAATAGGATCTTTAAAAATTGCAGCATAGTCTAATCATTGCTCTTATTCTGTACCTACCTTGAAACTTAACTAAATAAGTTGGGGAAGCTAGATTTTGACATGAGCTTCTATTCTTGACAATATGGATGATTAAGTTTGAACTAGAGAATAATACTGGCATGGCATCTGTTTATACTGTGAATATCTATAGCTTTGCATCTCAAAATTTGGTGGCATACAGAGGAAAACCGTGTCATTTCCTAGCCTCCTATGGCTACTGGTCGACTCTCTTGTGATCTTCATGATCTTTCAAAGATGCCCTTGACATAGACCATTCCTTTTTCACTAAGCTGAAGCTCCTTCCTCATTTGCTCAACTTGCTGGTCATCCCCTTGAACAATGATCTCGGACAGGGTCCCGTCTTCTGCAACCATCATCTTGACCTTGATCTGTTCCTTTCTTGATGCTCGTTTCCAGTAATATAACCCTCTGTATTCCATCAAACCAGCATTATTTTTCGTTGTCCTTGACAGTCAATAACTAAGAAACATTTCATTACACAAAAAGAAAAATCAGGGTCTTACGCCAAGGGACTAAGAATTGTGATCCAGAACCAATTGTTACCCACATCCGGGAAAGTTATGGTGAGCACAAGACCAACGCTAGCCAAGCTAATGCAGGTGCAGAATGTGAGCAATGCTGCTTGGCCCCTGCTAGGAACCATCATCCCCTCAAACCTTCAAATCAAATGAAACACATATCCTATCATTCAGTAAGCACATACCAGACAGGCACTGTATCATTCAGTAAACACTATCCAATGCAGAGGGTTAGCCTTACGTGACTGTCTCTCCTCTATCGATGACGGTAAAATTGTTGCGGGTGAAAAAAGATAAGATTTCTCCTGCAACCTGATTGGGTGCCTTCTTCTCATCTCCTTCGCCTATGAATGCCTTCTGCACAATCTGAGACTCTACTCCATCCATGTATTAGCTCCAGAAATCAAACAACACTCTTTAACAAGCTTCAAAAAGTACAGAAGTAACTATCTAAATCATACCATATCGAAGCAGAAAAAACAAGCATAAATTTTCAACTAAATCTCCAAATTCCAAGTAACACCTAGAGGATAGTGAAGGATGATTATAAAGGAAACGAAAAGTCGGTAAAGCACCTTGGATTTAACAGAGCGTTTAATAAGGGACCAGAGACCGGGCACAGAGATAACGAAGAGACCCAGAGAAGTATAGTAGCTAGCTAATGAATACCCCACGCTCTCCGCCAGCAAGAAAATGGAGTCTGGGTTTTGACCGAAATGATGTTGCAGATGCTCCACCAGAGCATATGATGAAGAAGATAATATAGAATCCTGCAAAGAGGCGCCGACAAACATCCTCTGGGGTCTTCCCGGAACTCGAACTCGCCGCAGCCATGGTCGGTGTTGGGTCGAGTCTCTGAAGCTCAGTTTTGAAGGAAGAGAATATAAAGAGAAAGGGTAAGGGTGTGGGTGTGGTGGGGATAACAGTTTTGTTGCCATTTTCGTGCGAGTTGCAGAGAGGAAGGATGATGGAGGATTGAGGTTTTTGAGCGGTGCAGAGGCCACGTCCGTGACACGGTCCACCTTGTGAATGTAGTAAACCAATTGAATGGCCCAGATTAAACGACTATATATATATATATATGTGTGTGTGTGTGTGTATGCATATATCTTTTATATTCATATGCTTTGAATTCATTGTTTATAAAAATTAGTACTTGTTGATACCCAGAAATTGATATGATTAAATTATTTCTTAAATAATAATTAATTCTTTTATAAGTTGAAATATCTGCCAATATAATTAATAATTGGGTGGTCTATTGTTTTTCCAATATGCTATTCGATATAATTTTTATTATTTACTCTCATTGTATATTTTTATTTTAATGGTTTATAAGATATATATATATATTTAAATATATCAGTTAAAATTTATTAAAAAAAATTGAATTGAAATTAATATTATTTTTAAATAATAAATATTATTATAAAGACCAAAAACGAGAAAAATGTGAATTGGTTTGTTTTTACACAGAGGGAGGAGAGAGAAAGAAGAAAAGGATAAAACGTTTACTTTCCAACTTCAAAGTCTACGCGACCCAAAAGACTTGCCCTCCTTAACAAACCAAAATTACCGAGCCGAGCCGAGCCGAGCCGAGCTCCAATTCCCAACGTGTTTCACATTTAATCTTAATTATATATCACGTATTATATATGTAATATATTACATCCTCATTTTTAACCCAAAATTATGTTGTAAAGAATTTCCAAAGAGTCAAAATGTTATTTAAAAACTAAAAATAAAAAAAAAACTCATAATTACGTACAAAAAAATATAAACTAAAATAAAATATAATTCTATTTAATTTTAATTAAATTGAAAGTAGGAGATGATGTTTAAATCAAGATAAAACAAACAAAAAAAAAACATACCCATTGTCTCTTACAATTATTAAAAATTATAATAATATAAATATAACATGAAATGTTTTAATAATAAATTTAATTAAAATAAAAAATTAATAAAAATTCGATAACTATAAAAACAATATTTAATTTTTATAGATAATAATCATTAATATACATCTAGTATTAATTATTTTTAATATAAAATATCATATAATAGAAAGATATCTATTTATGTTGATATTTAAATTAAAAGATATAAATAATTTGTAACGATCTTCGTAAAAACGGACGAAATATCAAAATTTTACTCGAAAAGAAAAAAAGTAATTAAAAAATAAAATATATGAAAATTTATATAAAAAGGTGCTTTTAAGTGTTCATTATTATTTAGGTTATTATGATAGATTGTTAGAAAAAAAAAAGAAAAAGAAAAAGAAAAGAAAAAAGAGATGATTGAGTGTATGCCTGAGATTGTGGACCAAACGGAATTCAGAACAACGTAGGCCAATCAGAGGAGGAGTAGAATCCAGTCACCGACTCATGGCTGGAGCCAAGCCACGCTCTCAAACGCGCGAATGAACCATTCAATGTTCACTTAACGGTTCCGAGGAGGAGAAACCACACTCGTCTGATCTCTCTCTCTCTCACATCCTCTATCCTTCTATCGTGATGTATTTGCGTTTTGTATGTATGGTACCTGTCTCTTTGTCTCGCTCTCTTTCTCTCTCTATTTCTATATCTCTCGCGTGAGCCAAACAGGATAGAACGCGAAACCCTTTCTTCGTCTCTCTCTTTCTCTCTCTTATCGCGTGAAATCTCTAGTTTTTTTTGTTGTTTCCGAATTCTTGGGTCTTTTTTCTAATTTTTTTTGGGGGTTTTCAAGACTCGGAGCCGAGAATTGACTGGATTACAGGTACGGTTTATTTGCTCTTTCGCGTCGATTTCTAGGGTTTTTTCTTTTTTTTTTCTTTTATTTTTGGTCTTTGGGTGTTTAAATTTGAAAGAAGTTATCATTATACCGTCGTTTTGATTACGTTGGAACTTTGTCTTATGCTTTTTTTATTGTTTACGGTACTTTATAATATATTTTTTTTTTTGGTTATTGAGCTAGCTGGGATGGGAGGTTGGTGTATTGATATGGTATGTATATCTCTTTTGATATGGGGGGTTGGTATATTGATATGGTATGTATATCTCCTTTTCCATTTATCTTAGTTGGAGTTTAAAAATTGGGGTTGTTTTTTTTTTGGGGGGGGGGGGGGGGGTGTAGGTGACTGTTGGATTAGTATTGTGCTTATTGATATTGTATGTCCTGGAAGGAAGTTGGGGTTTTTGTTTGGATTCATTGGGCTCGTTTTGGCTTTTGGTTGGCTTGGTTTTGTATATTTGGTAGTATTTTTTTATTTAATTTAGAGCAAATATAGTTAATATTGTTGATTTGGGATGAGGGAAAAGGAGGGTCAGGGAGGCAAGGGGATATATTCTCTTGCATTATGTGACGTCTATTGCAATACATGACACCGATGTAATAATGGTTTAGTCAAACATGCACACATAAGGCCTTTATCAGTTTAAGGTGTCGGAGTGTTTTTTTAACGTGTCATTTTTCAGTTGGACGGGAGAATTATTGACGTTGTTAAGGAATTTAACTATTCAGTGTCAATACTCGAGCTGTAATGGATGTGTTATCAGTGAGGAGCAACATTCTCTTTGTTACCTATTTATATATGAAGTTATGGGCGGCTTTTATTCATTAATTTTCCATGTAATGTGATGCTCATTTCCCAATAATGATAGAAAGCTACAATAATTAGTGGCTAAAACCATTTCTTTATCTACATCTATAAAAGTGTTTTTGTTTGCATGTACATGACATGATACTAGTTCAACTTGTAGTTTCCTGATTGTTTTGACACGCTTTTTCCTTTTCCTGATAAATTATGAAAAGCTTTGATAATGAGCTTTTTATTGCTGAACTGGCACTTCTTTAATCTTTAGGTTATTCAGTTGCTGTCATTGACGGCTTGCAATTAAATGAAATCACGATATGTTTATCGACGGTGATTTTCAGTTAGCATGTGGAGGCTAGTGGCTGATTGATGTAACCAAGACAAATCTGCTTTTAAGCTGGTATAATGTTCTGTTGGGGATTGTTTTGATATTCTGTACAAATGGCTGCTGATCAGCGGAGAAAACGATTAAATGGTGCTAGCGTTACAGGTTGCAGTTCTAAGGAGAAACAGAAAATAAAAAAGAAAAAACTAGATTTACCAAAAAATGATCTAAACGCAAGATCTTACATTTCTCTTGAGTGGGACAGAAACCAAAAAAAGGTCATTGCCAAAAGGGAGCAAATTGGCATTAGTTGGAGGGATGTGAGGCCTTTCATTGATACTGTTCCACATTGTCAGAATGTTTTGGCAGATGTTTTTTCAGTTCCTATGGAAATATTTGACTTGAGGAATTTGACTGAGGTGCTTTCTTATGAGGTGACTGGACTTTAACTCTGGCATCTTTTCCAAGCACGTTTGCTGAAAGTAATTTCGATTTTGAAGGAGACTTATGTTTTTTGCTTTTATCTGTCTCACAGGCTTGGCAAAGTTATTTATCAGAAGATGAAAGAGCTTTTCTATCACAGTTTCTTCCAAGAGGAACAGATGTGCAGCAAGTTGTGCAAGCTTTGTTTGCCGGGGATAATTTTCACTTTGGGAACCCTATGTTCAAATGGCAAGTTTTGATATGTGAACCTTGGTTTTATCACAGATGCACTTAAATATTTACTTTAAGAACATGGTGACTAAGAAAAAAATGGGAAGATAATAATATTGGTTCTGAATGCAACTCTGAGTTTATGTGCATGTGTTTGTCCGTTATGTTGATTTATGTTTATGTTTTCATGATTTTCCCATTTGTTCCTGTGTTGAATTCTGTATCTTTGTTGCAAGAAAGTAGTTTTTTTTATTAGTTTGCTTTATATGTTGTAAAGATCATATTTGGTTTTAACTTGAGACCACCTCTTAACACTGCCAGTCACGTTCTCTTGCCTGTTTTATGGTGAAAGGGCACTTATTTTCTTTTTGTTTGATACTTGGCTTCCTTCCTTTTGGTATATCTCTTCTTTTAACGATCACGATCTTCAACTGGTCGATGACGCTAACAAAAACTTGGAAGGGTTTAATCTGACTAGAAGATATGCTTACAGGGGTACAGCGCTTTGTTCTGGTAATCTTCACCCTGATGCAGTTATTCATAAAGAGCAATGCTTAAAGCGTGATAAACAAGCATATTACTCAGAAATGCAGAAATATCATTTTGAGTACGTGGAGCATTGTCAACATTTTATAAATAAATTGTGCAAAAGAGATTTTTGAAAATCCTAAAGATGATGCTATAACTCATTTTTTTGGGGTTTGTATTCTTGCAGTATGGTAGGCTATTTGCAGAAGTTGAAGGAAAGATGGGAAAGCTACAAGGATCCAGAAAGGGAGATTGTGCAAAAGATACGGAGGTTGATACTTTCTATATTTTTCCTGTTGTGGTCAATGTTTCCTTACTCCGGACATAATAGTGTTCCTTTGTATGCATATTAATTTTCTCTTTATGAAATAAAGCTCTAGCAATGCCTTGATTATTATCTTACTATCATTTTTTATTTATTTTAATCCTCTGAGTTAATCAATTGGAATCATTACTAATACTTTTGTCATCATGATTTTGAATCTTATTTGGATTGGCTTGATAATTTCTTTAGTAGGTCTAGAAGGGATATGGAGGAAAAAGTCCCTTCCCGTGCTAATGGATCTAGGTTTCGAGACCTGGAGCAGGACATCATGGCTACATCTGAATCTTGTTCTTGGGTTGCAGATGAGAAAGCTTTTAGTAGTGATAATCAGAACTCTTCTGGAATGAAGGGCGGAGAACCTCATAAGAGGTGATCTATTGTTTTTTTCCCCTTTTTCACTGAACTGCAGTATCAGAGTTGTTTCCCCTGACCTCTTGGATCTATATGAATGAGACTCTTTTGGTGCTTTATTTTTGTTTCAAATCATGAGTGAGATTCTCTTTGTTGATATGCGTTTTTCTTTCTGAATGATTTGAATAAACTGAATTACTGTCTCTCTTTTAACTTTCTTCACTCTCGTTGCCTATGGTTGTGCATGTATTGTAGAGGTATATAAAATACATATTAAGAGTGCGTCTTATCAAATAACTGCACACAGATTACTTTTAGCCATTTCATCGAAAGGAATTAGTAGTATCCAATAGAAAATTGGTTCCACTTTCTGATTTTTGTTGTTATTTGGGTCTTGTGTTCTAGAATCTAGATGTTATATGAGTTGTAAAGCTTCTTAACCCTCATGCGGAATATAAATGGTATGGCAAATTGAACTGACATGATTTGGAGCCTGGACTCCATTATATCATTCTTTAGACTATAACAAGTAATTGCAGTCTTCATTCTTGTGGTTCCTGCTGGGGGTACCTTCAGGGACATCAGAAAAAAATTGAATCATGCAGATATGAAGAAGATGGCCTTGAGAAACGATGACGCACATAAAATCTTAATGAAAAGAAGAAAATGGTCCTTGTGCAAGAACGTATGGTCCTTGCTGGGAGTCTAACTCTTTCTCCTCCTTGTAGAATCCCTTTTTCTCTCTTTGTTAATGAAAAGAAGAAATTTTTATGTTCTTTACTGCTTTTGTGTTCTAGTGTGCTTCTTTGCTGTCTTTTATCTGGAAACTGATGATTCTTTGTTTTTATTGTTGGATTCTACTTCACTTGGCTTTCATGAACATATTGTTTACATTAGTGATTCTGGATCTCATCTTTGTGTGCAAAATGAGGAGTCATTTCCATGCACTGATAATTGGAAAAGGTTTTAGTTTCTTGTTCTTAGTGGTCATATTATTGGATTGTGGTTGCTGTATTTGTTTCTTCATGATTTACGTTTTTGATGTTTCCCACCAATAAATTAACTTCATTATCCGCCGTGCATATCAGGGTGTCTAGGAAAGGGCTTGGCAAAGGAAAATTTAAGAATCTTTCTACTGCTTCAAATGAGATGCAAAATTTGGGAGCAAGATCCAGAGAAGGAGACAATCTACAGAAGCATAATATCCATCTAAGTGATGGTGCCAAATACATGTCATGTCTGAAGGTCAACTTTTCTGTTTCTTTACTGATTTATGAGCCTCTAAGAGGAAGATTTGGTAATCTAAGATGGTTTATAACGTCTATAATTTCATTTGGTGCTGACTAAATCAAATCATATGGAATCTTTGGAATAAATAAGGTTCTGGAGAGTAGGAGAATTTGGTGTAAATGAAGTCAAGTCTAATGCTTTTTGCTTCTCAAAAAAAAAAAAAAAAGGTTTGATGCTTTTTGGATGCCCGTCTCTGATTTTGTAATGTTGATATATTGTAGATTAGCAAGAAGCAGCATCAACTGGTAACGAATATGAAGCAGTCTGGTAAAAGCATTCAGTCTAGGTCTCTTAACCGTGTCTTGGGTAATATTGATCGTCTGCACGTGCAACCATATGAAGTATTTGTGGAAGAGGAACGCAAGAGACTGCGAGAATACTGGTAGATTCTGTGGTTGAGATTTCTTTACATGGCAACCTCTTTGATTTCTCCCTCTTAAAATTGCGTTCTTATCTATGTAGGTCGCAGTTGGCAAATAAAGATCTGCCCAGAGCATATGAAAACTGGAAAACATACAGTTAGAGAAACGGGAGATGATCAAGTATTTGGAGATTGACCTGAAAACAAGTGAATCTGGAGGTCGTTTACTCTCCGCTCCCCCTTCTCTATCGCCTTCTATCCTTTTCTTCTTTGCAGTTTAACTTGTACCAGTTATCCAATATATGCCTATAGTTATACGTAGATGATGTTAACTTGAATATTCATTGCACTTACTGAAACTTGGCAACTTTGTTATTGGCTAAGCTTATTGAATTGTTATTATATGTACACACAGGACGAAGGGAAAGGGATCCCTGAGACAATGCCTCAGGATCAGGGTAATGTTGTTCTCTACCTGGGTGAAAAGGATGACGACAAAGAGGATACTGAGAGCGCGGCTCTGGATCAGGACAGTATAGAAACAGACCATGAATCGATCATGGAAGACAATGAAGATTCAGGACCTGGCTCCCTGCAGAATGATTCTGTTCTGCATGTTTCTTCCCCTAGTGATGGTGATGAGTTGAAGTCCACTCTGCAGGTTTCTTCACTTAGTGGTGGTGATGAGTTGAAGTCCACTCCGCAGATCTCTTCCTATAGTGGTGGTGATGAGTTGAAGTCCACTCTGCAGGTTTCTCCACTTAACAGTGGTGATGGGTTGAAGTCCACTCTGCAGGTTTCTTTCACTAGCAGTGGTGATGAGTTGAAGTCCACTCTGCAGGTTTCTTCCCCTAGCAGTGGTGATGAATTGAAGCAAAGGGGTATGGATTCCATAGGCAATAATTGTGCCTCAAGGTCAGATAATACTTCCTCAAATTTGTCTGAGCGCTCAGGGAATTTGAATGATGCTAATGTTACCATCAATGAAGGACTCCGTCTTTCTTCTGCTGGAGATCTGTGGCCAGCAGTCAACCTGACACACCCATACTATGATTCTACTGCTAACCGTGAATATTCGTCTACTATTGGGTCGTCACTTGCTCATCATCATCCTAATGGAGAACATCGGAGCCATTTGATTGATCTAGAGTCAAATTTGCATGAAGAAGATACCAGGAGAAATCTGTTGAATAGAGAGTCAAATGGTGGTTCCTTTGGTTCTTTCGCAAACCAGGACCGTAGTGAGCTACTTCAATCTCTCTTTAAGGGCCAGGGGATGCTATCATACAACCATGAGCATAAACACACAGAATTGGATTTCCAGCCACGAAACAATATGCTGATGGAGGAAGGCAGGTTTTCTGGTGGCCACATCCAGGACCAACTGCAGCCATCTCTGCAACTGGAGCAGGGGCAAAAGAGGCAGAATCAGGTTTACATGCAACATGTCTCAGGGAATATTTATTCTGAGGGAGGTAGATATTTAATTCCAAGGCAAGAACACTTGTCACCTCTAGGCATGCCAGATTGGAATGTTAGTTCTGTCCGTATGTCAGCACCCATCCAGTCCCAGCTGAATAATAGGGAGCTCTTAAGTCAGAACTGGTTTTCTGGTCAGCACCAAGTTCGCAGTGGATGGACTGTTTCGGATGGTGTTGGTGTTGGCCCAGCCATCGGGAATGGAAACAATTCAGATCAGAGCCTATTCAGTGTTCTATCTCATTGCAGCCAACTACGTTCTGGTGGGCAGTTTGATTCTGTGGGCTCTGCCGAGCCATTGATTGGAACAAGGAACTACGGAATGATTGGCGGGGCCCCATCTGGAATTGGCAATGGTTTATCACAAGCTGCTAATCCACTGGACTTCTTGGGTGGGCGTGATCCATCTACTACCCTGATGCCTGATGACATGGGATGGATGAACCTGCCTCATCAGAATTCTGCTTTACATGATTCAATGGGAAAACCATACCTTAGATCATGGAATCAATAGCATATTTTTCTCTCTTTTTTTTTTTTTTCGTGAAGGCAAGCTCAAGAAGGAAGACAGAATACAAGATGCAAAAGAGGGGCTTCTGTAACTTGTTTTGTTAGGAGGAAGACAGTTTCATGGTCAGCAGAATTGCAGACAGGAGTATACAATCCCTGGTATAGGTTCTTTGTACATACCTACAGGAGAGGAAACTTGACACCATGTATATATCTTAGATGTTAGATGGGCAGGTGCGCGGGAAGTTGTGGCAAGGATGGAAGGTCCAGGAACCTATTATTTAGTAGGTGAGTTAAATATTAAATATTAATTTATCATTGGGGATTTTTTGCGTTCTCTTGTTGACTGCAAATTACTCAATAATTTTTGGAGGCTATTAATTGCCCCAGTCTCTGTCTGTCTCTCTCTCTCTCTCTCTCTCTCTCTCTGAGTGGCAAGTGTTTGCACCCACACAAAAAGTGTAGGCGAAGAAGCAAGTAAACTTAAGGAATGGTGTTTGAGATAGGTAGGTTGATACTTATAGGTCACTTCTAACAATTGTCCATGTGGTTTGTGTAAATGGTGATATTGGCATAGCGAAATGGCAGACGCATCATAGTAAGGTGTTGAATGATTGAATTTATAGTTGTAAGGATCCGGCAGGCCGGATTATGGATGATTGATTAGCAGTGGCTTTACTGGTTCGGGTAGCAAATTGAATGTCGAAGCCAGATAAACTAGGCGAGCAAAAGATTAGCAATTGTAGTGGGAAGGAGAGAGTTATGGCTTCGTCTATTATTCTGTTCATATTTAGTTCGACAGTTGCATTTTGGCCCATGGTTAATCATTTTCTCATTCTCTAGTGGCTAGAATGTCGTACTCAGTGACCTTTTGAAACAAGTTGTAAGTTGTTAACTTGTTTGGTTGCATTCTAAGGATGGAATTACTTTGTCAGGACAGGGTATCATATTTTTCTGGGTAATTCTAACGACAGAATGGTTGTCATCGTCATCAACTTTTTGTCTTTGGGCCGTCTAGATTCTTCTGAAAGGTGAAAATTTTTATATGCACACTATTCGTGGACATCCTTCTAAAAAGCAGTCGGTAAATTCGTAAGGGTTTAAAAGATTTGATCATATTTTACTCATGTGGTGAGCTTGTTCAATCTGTGGTAAATCTTGCCCTTATATTCAGATCCTTTTAAGGAATTTTCAGATTTACCACAAATTTAATTTATATTTTATATTATGTCTTTTTTAATATAATAATTTTCAGTCTGAGTGATTTTTTTTTTAAGTGATGTCCATCCATTTACACAATATCAAATTAGTGTATTTTTCAAAAGATTATAATAATTTAATCGATTCACTAATTTACGAAATTTAAGTTTATTTCCAAATATTTCCATTAAAATAATTGTTTAGATTATAAAATATTTTAATATGTTATGTATTAGATAAATTAAAAAATGAATCAAAATTATTTGATAAATTAAAATAATATAATTTTACACAAACTGTCCAATATTTTTTTTTTAAAAATATATATTTAACAAATTAAAAATATTTATATATTTAATAATATCTAAACATAAATTTTGTCTTGTCTAAATTGTATATTACCAAAGAGAAATGAGCAGAGGTTACATTTGGTGATTTAAAGAAGGGAAGCTTAATAAAATCGTAATTGGAAATTAAAGAAGATAATTAAATACCAGGAAGAGAAGCAATCAGCTTGGGGTTGTGTTTGTGTGGGCCAGTTTCTTCTTCTCGTGGCTGTCGTGTTCGCAAAGCATGAAATCAATCTCTTTCTTCTCTTTTCTTAACGTCACAAACCCTTGTGTTCGTCTCTTGAATCTTCTCTGAACTCTTACTGCTTCTCCCATCACCGCAAGCACAAAAGAAGAACCAAGGTACAGCGTAGGGCTTGATATGGACGGCAATTCAGTCCCGCGGGGACAAATGGACGAGAACAAGAAGAAGGAGGTGATTCGATTAGAGCGGGAGTCTGTGATCCCAATTCTCAAGCCGAAGCTTATTATGACCTTGGCCAACCTCATAGGTACATTATTTCGCCAGTAATGTAGATTCCATGTCTCTTGGATCCTCTATTAAGTTTATATTTTCAAAATTTGTTGCTTCTGTTGGCGTGAAATTTATTTTTGTATGAGAGTGTTTTCAGTTTCCATCATCAGACAGTTCATAACTATTGCCTTCCTTTCCCCCTCCCCCCCCCCCCCCCCCCCATGATTAATTGATTTCTTTTCAATAGAAGAAAACAACCTTGACGCAATTATTACTTAATTATCCATGTCGCGCAACGTGTTGCTCCTTCATTGGGCGGGTTTCTTTTTAATATATACATATATATATTTAACATTCTGCAGAACATGCGACTGACCGGGCTGAGTTTCTGAAGTTCTGCAAGAGAATTGAATATACCATTCGAGCTTGGTATCTTCTGCAGTTTGAGGATTTGATGGTAATTGTATTTTTTCAGCTTTTACTTCCGTCCTCTTGCCAGAATGCGTAATTTTGATATGTTAAAAGTGTCCCATCTTCTGTTGAATACGGTGTTTGCAGCAACTGTACTCTCTCTTTGATCCGGTACATGGAGCTCAAAAGATCCAGCAGCAGAATTTATCTCCAGAAGAAATTGATATACTCGAGCAGAATTTTCTTACTTACTTGTTTCAGGTAATATGGCCTAATTGCATGATCTCTAGCGTGTATTTGGATGTTTAATGGAACCGAAATGACACTATTTCACTTACTTGAGGCACTTCAAGATACCATTGCTTCCATGAACTTTCCAATTGTAAATGATATACACACATATATATATATGCAATAATTCATTGGGAAAATGCAATTCTTTAATTGTGTTTCTGCCAATGTATATCTAAGCCCCTTTTTGGAATGATCCCACCTGAACAAAAATCTTGACTGCTGTCTGATGAAAGTTGGCAAGGATTGGGATAACACAGTTATGATTGATGTTTTTGGAGGTAAAGATAATAACTTGGTTAGCATAGTTTCTTTGAGTTTTGTTATCCTGTGAACCTGAAGGGAAATTATATTGTATTGTTGAGCAATCTTGAAAAAATTTGTGACTCTGTGGTAGGATAGGAGGTAATCAAATGGTGTGACTGACTTTGACTGCAAATTACTAGAATATTCTTTTCCCATACAGGTGATGGAGAAGAGCAACTTCAAAATAACAACAAATGAGGAGATTGATGTTGCACTTTCAGGGCAGTACCTTCTGAATCTTCCTATCATGGTTGATGAGTCTAAGGTTTGTAAAGACAGTTGCATAAATGAATCTGTGGGATGCCTACATAATTACCTATCAACGCATAAAACTTGAATATCTTTTTTTGTGTTTCCCTGTGCTCTTTGAATTTTAACCCTAAATTCCATTCTTTATTAGCACAGCTGGACAAGAAGCTGTTGAAGACATTTTTTGCTGCACATCCTCATGAAAATCTTCCAGATTTTGCTGATAAGGTACCATTTTGAGTATAGCATAAAGGATTGCATGCTTAGTTCTAGTACAAGATATTGCAAGCAATAGGTACCTTATTCTCTGTTTGCATAAGACCTCCATCAAGCAATATGGCAGACTGGAGGGGTTTGTCCCTTGCATAAAAATGGCTTAATTAGCAGGAAGATCTGTGACTTCTGTCGCTGATCTTGATCCTTTTCAATTTTTGACAGATGTTTTTTTGGCTGGATGTATTTTTTCATTCATGTTAATTTTTACTAAGGGTTAGTTGGTAGTTTAGGAGGTTAACGTTATTCAAATGTTTTGAATTTGAAATTCATTGTAAAATTTGACTCCGGCATGCTTGCTCAATTCAATTCTAAGGTCTAACTCTGGCATCCTATGTTTGTGCAATCTCCTGGATCCCTGGTCTTTTAATGGAGAAACCTCCCCCTCCTTATCTCAAGAAAATCTGGATCATGTTTCATCTACTTTTATCTTTTCCCTTTCAAGAACCTAATCAGTGGTATGCTTTTGTTCTTAGTATATTATTTTCCGACGTGGCATTGGAATTGATCGGACAACAGATTTCTTTTTCATGGAGAAAGTCGATATGATCATTGCAAGATTTTGGGCATTTCTTTTAAGAGTGACCCGGTAAGCTTCTCTAAGCCATGTAATTTACCTCAAAGTTTACAGAAGTTGAATCTGAAGATCAAGTTTGGGGAAACCTTAACTTAAGAGTTGTTAAAACTTTCATGTAGCCTAGTGCATTGCATTATCTAATCACTTGCATGAGTTAGTCATTGGCAATGCTTATAAATTTAGTGTTACATTATTTATGGTCTGTAAAAATCAAATTTACAATTCAGCAGAAATTATATAGCCCGAGTAATTGCCTTCTATTATGTGGGCCCTTAACATGCTTCACGAATTCCTTCATTTAATCCTGATAAGGATTTTGTTGCTTGCAGGTTAGGAAAACTTTTCTCCAAAAATTCACGTCGACACCATAGGAAAGATCCAAAAAAGGATGATGAAATTATCTCTGAATCAAATGATGATGACTTATATGTTGAACGGATCCGCCTTGAAAATATGGAACTCAGGTTGCACAAGACATGTTTCAATTTTCGTTGATTGTGGTCTTAAATAGAATAGAAAGGCTGATACTGTATGAGTATATATGCTTGTGTGTATATTAGTCCTTTCCACTACAAATTTGGTTTACCAAACAGTTAGAGGCAATTAAAACTTATAATTCTAATAGTATATTTATGCCCCATACACTGGTTTCTTTGCATGTCTATTATAATCAGTTTGCCTTTGAGATGTTGATAATTGGATATGATGAATAATCCATGGCTGTCATAATTACAATTTTTTTATTTGATTTGCTGCAAGTAACTCTGATCTAATTATGTTTATTGAACTCTTGGTTCAATTGGTTTTTAACCACATTGACACTGGCATGCTTTTGTCTTTTTGTATCTATTTGTCATTCATGTGGTCACTCATGCAACAATCCATGTATCTCCCATAATTTGCGAAAGGCAACACGCAAATCTTCTGAAATGTTGTGAGCTATATTTCAGCTAAAAATTAGAGCTCAATAGTTGTGTTACCAATGTTGGAGGCTCCATTTTTTTGTGTTTGCTCTTGTAGCAATTGGCTAATGCAAGAATGTCATTTGTAAGTTGTAATGCTTATTCACATTTAACAAAAATATAGAGAATCTAGCATCGCTTCCTCTCTAAATTATGATTTTTTTTGTCGTTTTTTTCTCATATCTGCTGTTTAATGACCTTTTTTTTTGGGTATTGTAGTTTCTGGAATTTGCTGGGCAAGGTCACAATACAAGAACCTACTTTTGATAGGATAATTGTTGTATACAGGTGCATTCTTTTTCTGCTTCACAAAGTTGGCAACATTTTACTTTCCACAGTTTCCTTCATTCCATGTGCTCTCTGCAAAACCAATTTGGTATTTGCACTTATGGCATGGTTGGACACATAGTTCATAGTTTCTTGATGTGATAGATACTTCCATGGATGATATTTTCACGAGCTACATAAACAATAATTCTTTCCATCTTCTGGAGGAAATGCTTGAAATCTTCTCTAATTTGATGGTTTTTGCTAGTAACTTTATAGAAGAAAGTGAAAATAATGTATTTAACATCCGAGAAGGTTGATCATTTTGCAGGCGAGCAAGCACCAAATCAAATATGGAACGAGGAATATATGTGAAACATTTCAAAAATATTCCTATGGCTGATATGGAAATAGTGCTTGTTAGTTCTTTTTCTTCTACCTTCTATATTTTCTGTTCCTACTTATTACCTGGTCCATGAAGTATTTTTCTTTTTTCTTGTCTATTTGAAAACTTTGACAGCCCGAGAAGAAAAATCCAGGATTGACTCCAATGGACTGGGTCAAGTTTCTTGGTTCTGCTGTAGTTGGTCTGGTTAGTACTTAGATGGCATTTGGTGTGCTCTTACATGTTTTGTTTTTCCTTCCACTTTCTTCGTTATTCCTTGTTCCTTTATGCCAATTCCACGCTTATGTTTACTTTATCTTTCTTTGCAGGTTGCAGTGTTTAGTTCACTTGAGATGCCTAAAGCTGATCTTTGGGTCATGATTGCCGTGCTTTCTACAGTGATTGGTTATTGTGCCAAAACATACTTCACGTTAAGTGTTTCCTCACTAGTCTCCCCTTAAATTGATATATATCAATAGATACTGGTTGTCCTTACACATCTTGACATTGAGGTTCCATGATCAACAAAGGTAGTATTTGCATAACAAAATTTATTTTCTTATCAGATAAAGCATCTTTTCTGTTAAAGAAAAGGTTCTTGAATTGAGCCATGCCTTAGGCGTAGTCCCTGGTTGACTAATTGTTGCCTTCACTCTTTTAATAGTCTGGATTGATTTAGAACCTATTTTAATTTTTGATTTTTGTTAACTTCATGTAGGTTCCAGCAAAACTTGGCTACATATCAGAATTTAATTACGCAATCCATGTACGATAAACAACTAGATAGTGGAAGGGGTACTCTCTTGCACTTGTGTGATGATGTAATTCAACAAGAAGTAAGTAGCATGCTAGATATATGCTATTGTCAAGAAGAATTATAGCGATATTTCCATGTTTAGTTTGTGCATATGGAAATATTCTTATGCTGAAATTAACTTTATCGGAGAAATTGCCATTCCTTAACAAATGACTTGCAGGTCAAGGAAGTGATTATTTCATTCTTTATATTGATGGAACAGGGCAAGGCTACTAGGCAGGTGCACGTGCATTCTTTTTCACCTTTTCCTACATTAGTTTATTGTTTGTGCTCTTTAGTGCTGTGTATGGGTCTTATGAATACACGTAAAGTCACCTGTAAGCTTGCAATATTATGAAACAGGATCTAGATTTGCGGTGTGAGGAACTGATCAAAGAAGAATTTGGTGAGAGCTGTAACTTTGACGTAGATGATGCAGTTCACAAGTTAGAAAAGCTAGGGATTGTTTCTAGGGTGAGTCAATTACCCATTATTTCTCCATGATTAATTTTGCGAGAAAAAAAAAGAAAAAGCAATCTGAAACTGACTATTTTCTTTTTCCGGAAGATTTTGTAAGAAAGATATTTTGTTGCATTAAACTTCAAAATTTATTGGATGTTTGAATGATTGCATCAAACCACCATAACCGTGAGGCTTGTTTCTACTCTCTTTCTCTCTCTGAATGAAGTTACGTGTGGTTTTAGGATACTATCGGCCGGTACTTCTGTTTTGGGCTGAAACGAGCTAACGAGATCATAGGCACTACCACTGAGGAGCTTGTCCTCAAGTCAAGACAGGGCGTGGCCGTGTGATGCTGTGTTGGGAAGGTAAAGTTATCCTTTCTTTAAAATTTTGGTTTGTATAAAACCAATTTCTGAGTTCTGATGTATTGACAGTTGGAGTGTAGGAGATTATTCATTATTCTGTGGACAAACGCACTCAAATCAGAAGTCTCAAAAGGGATGTTTTGCTCAATTTTGGCATTTTCCTCTGCAATCATCTGCCAATATCTGTGATCTTTGGAGCATTGGTTCTCTTTTTTGATGTATGGAATCGTGTGCATGTCAGTTTTTATGTCCTTTTGAGTTTTTTTTAGTGGGAGAAAATTGGTCAGTTAAATTTATTTTTTATAAGTTGATTTATGGTATTTAAGTGAACATACGTTTTTTTTTTTTGGGCAAGTGATTTATCGTTCATTATGAGATGTAAATATGTTATTACATATATATATATATATGTTTTTAGCCAGACAAATGTGCTATAAACATGCAATGAGAAAAGCGTCCAGTGACGTTTGTATTATTGTATGGACTGCTTTTTCTATTAGGGTTCTAGTGGGTAGTTTACACAAGCTTGGTTTCTGAGCTAACAAAAAAGTAGACTATTTATGAGAAAAAGTGCAAATTATTTATTTACTTTCATATAAATTAGTTTTTTTTTTTTATATATAATTTAGTCATTAAATTTATGAATTTATTCTAAAGTATGATTTTTTTTAATATTTATTATACTAAAATAACAAACGTTATTTATTCTTACTTTAATCCACATATAAGAATTTAAAAATAAATCATTTGTATTTAATAGTAAGAATTAAAAAAATTTAAAAGTGGGAATCGCATTTCTTTTATTTTTTTATTACTTGTAATGTTTATTTTCATTTTCACCAAATAAATTAATTGTTCTTGTTAAGTTTTTTTTTTAATCAAAATTTTCATAATGATATGAAAAATCATAAATTGGAAAATTTTATAATTTTAAAAATTAAAATGTAGTGAAAAAAAAAAGTTTTGAGAGGAAATTCTAATACGATAAATAATAAATAGTTTAATACTAAAATAATAGTTTAGGCAAAAAAAAAATATATTCATATATATGTTAAAACTTTCTAGGTGACTTGAGGTTATGTTTGGATATATTAATGATGTTATCAAAATCAGTATAATGTAGGAGATGATATGATAATTTATACTGTTATCCCAAGAACTTTGAAAGCGATTGAAAATGAGCCAGATGTAATCAAAGAACGGGATTTTCAAATAAAAATTTTGAAAGTAGTTTAACTTCTCCTTTAATATCTCTGTATCTTCATCTTGTTGTTTTGTATTGATGAACGATGCAACATGGGTCGTCCCCAGTCGATCGGAAATATTCATGTCAACTTCTTCGTTTTGCTGCGGGCCGCCGCCGATCGGATATCACTCTCTCGAGCTTCATAGCAAAACTTCCGGCCTGGCCAAGTTGAAAAAAATACCCAAAGTAGATTTCAAATGCCAGTCAACAATCTTACCCGGGAAATAATCGGCATATCGACACGTGGCTCTCAATTACTGATCCACGCAGAAGAAATTCCCGCCGAAGAGAATGGGCAGCAAAGACACGCCTTGAACAAGAGATTTCAGAATAATCTCTTGTTTTGTTTGTTTGTCGGTCTGTCTGATCATCTCTTCTTTTCGTCTTCCTCTTCTTCAAAAGAGAAAAAGAAAGAGAGAAGGAAAACCCTGTTTATAAAGCATATATACGTGTATATATATATATATATATTAGTAATGGGGAAGAAAAAGGACATGATAAGGTTGGAGAGAGAATCTGTTATCCCCATTCTCAAGCACAAGCTTATCACGGCCTTGGCCAACCACCTTGGTAAGTCTGAAATGCTTGCAGATTTAATTTTCATTTTAGCCAATAAACCCTTGCCACAAGAGAAGAAACCTACGTTTGTTAATATTAGCTGTAGTATAAAGATGGAACGCGAGTGCTTGCTTTATGTTCTCTGAGAACACCCATCGTTTATCTTTCATGCATGTAAAGTATTCGAGGTTTAACTTGCCTTCTATATATATAAAAATACGTGTGTATGCATGTATATTTGATATATTTGTCTGCATATTCTGCAGAAAAAAAGCCTGTTCGGGATGAGTTCTTAAAGCTCTGTCAGAGAGTTGAATACACAATTCGAGCTTGGTACCATCTACATTTTGACGATCTCATGGTATTTTCCAGATTGTCCTCTCCTTTTGTTTGAAATTTTTCTTTTTAGATTTATTTGTAATACCTTTTCCATAAATTTTTGGGTTTGCAGCAATTATATGCTCTTTTTGAGCCCGTACATGGGGCTCACAAACTGGAGCAGCAGAACTTAACTCCTGAAGATATTGATGTTCTTGAACAGAATTTCATCACCTACTTGTTTGAGGTGTCTTATCTGTTTTTCTTTAACTAAACTTCAAACTCAAATTGAACGCAGATTGCTTGTAACAATCTTTCAATTGTTTTTACCAAACTCTCACTTCATGCAGGTAATGGAGAAGAGCAATTTTAAAATGATGACTGATGAGGAGATTGATGTTGCTCTTTCTGCACAGTACCGTCTAAATCTACCAATAGCAGTTGATGAGACTAAGGCAAACAACTGATTTTGCAGTCTACATATTCTTTTTCTTTTATGTTTAAATGCTAATGTGTATGATCGTTTCTGCATATGTGTAGGTATCTTTTTGTGTGTCCGTATGTGCATGCATAAAAGTTGAGACTTTGCCTCCTGATTTGATGATTCCAAGTTTCTGTTTTTTGGTGAGTGTAGCTTGACAAGAAGCTTTTTACAAGGTATTTTACAAAGAATCCTCGTGATAACCTTCCACACTTTAGTGATAAGGTATTGCTCTCAATTGCCTTATACTTTTTGCCCTCTTGTGCGGTTACATTATGCTGAACAAAATTAAAAAGTGGGAGTCCTTATTGTTAATTGTCTGATGCAAGCTTATCTCTTACTTTTAGTACATAATCTTCCGTCGCGGCTTTGGAATTGATCATATGACTGCTTACTTTATCAATGCTAAAGTGAATACCATTGTTAGGCGTATATGGAGATGTTTCTTAATAGTGACTGGGTAAGTTCCTTACTATGGAACTTGAACAACCTTGTTCTCACAGTCATATGATCATGCACAGTTTTGACATAAGTACACCAAAATAGTTGCAAAAACCCTTAATCCTATTAACTTTTAACATACACCTTGCCTTGATTTTGGAGTCATTCCTGAAAGTTTGGTGCATTTGAATTGCTTAAGCATTAATCTTGGTCTCTGCAAGTCTTGGCATGAAAATTATATATCTTTGCCTACTTCTGGCTTTATTGTGCTATGTAGGTTAAGAGTTCTCTTTGGAAAGAAAAGAACACATAATGTCAACGGTGCAACAGAACCAGTTGAGATCAGCATTGATGCAGCAAAAGATGACTTATATGTTGAACGAATCCGCATAGAGAAACTCAACCTCAGGTTATAAGTGATTTCTTGACAGCAAACTGAATTATCTGTTGTACCATTGCTAACATGAAAGTTCTCATGGATTAAATCCTTGGCAAAGAATACTGATATAGCCTCATGGATTAACTTCTAGTTCATATGAGAACATATTTAACTCGTCCTATTGAGATATAATCAATATATATATGTATATATATTTGTGTTACATCTAGATCTGATAGCTAATTTTTTGAATAGAAATCCGATAGCCCTTGAATTTGTATCACTATGATATTTCTTTCCAATTTCCTTAATCCCCTTAATTACCTAAATCATGGTTGATTGGATTTATAAAACGAATGGCTACATACAACATGATGGAAATTATTTTGACAGAATTGTTTTCTTCACTATGTGCTTCTTAAGTGCTTGTTTTGACTTATACCTTTGTGCCTGAGCAGTATCTCTAATCTGCTAAGAAAGATAACAATCCAAGAGCCGACTTTCAGTAGAATAATTGTCATTTACAGGTATTTGTTTCATTCTTCTTTCCCCATGTTGTTTTTTCTTCAGTTCCAAGTTTATGTTATATGCGTAGAATGAAGTTATTGTTCTGCTCAAAAATTAAAAGCAGTATAGGCAAATATGAAAGTTGATGCGAAGTTTCATATTCTTGTATGGAAGGATATTGCCCTCTACAAATTAGAGGAAGCAGGAGACGTTTTTCTAGTATTCTTTTGTTGATAATTCTACCGTTATTACTGGTTTCTATTTCTTTGAAATAAACAATATTGTACCATGAGAAATGGATTGTTGGTTCCTCAAAAGAAACTAAATATGCAGGAGAGCACCTAGCAAAAAGGAAATGGAACGGAATATATATGTGAAACATTTTAGGAACATCCCGATGGCTGATATGGAAATTGTGCTTGTGAGTCACTTCCTCTGTCTTCCTGTTATTTGAATATTATGATCCTTCAGAAATGTGTACTTGAGTATTAACCTGGTATTGAAAGTTTTTCAATTAACAGCCAGAAAAGAAAAATCCAGGTTTAACTCCACTAGACTGGGTCAAGTTCCTTGTTTCTGCTGCAATTGGGCTGGTTAGTTATTGACCTAAGTTTAACTCCACTAGCTGTTCTTTACTGTGAAAGATTGTTTTCACATCATACTTTTCGTACAGGTTACAGTGATTAGTTCACTTAGCATCCCTAAAGCTGACATCCGGATCATCCTTGCTATTCTGAGCACGGTGGTTGGTTACTGTGTTAAAACATATTTTACGTTAAGTTTCTTTTTTATTATTTTAATCTATTTGAGAGAATTTGGATGCATGTATATATAGAATAACAGTTTGTCAAAATGAATGATTATGCAAATGGCTTGCCTTCTGATAATGAAATATGTATATTCAGCCCTTTCTTTGTTTTTCTCTCTTCCACATTCTTGACATAGTCACTACTTTGTGTTAACACATACAGCAAATTGGATTCATTTTTATTAACTTAAGCTTTTGGTATAAATGGTTCAATCTATTATTCAAGATGGTATCAAATAGAGGTCTTGTCTTAAAGCTTTAGGAACCCCATCCTCATTATTATTTGCTAACTCATTCTTTTGTCCAATATTGGACATCAATCTTCATTTGACTTGCATTCTTTACTTGCTTTTGGACCTTCAAACTTTTTTGAGTTTGAGTCGATGTCCTAACACTAAAAATTTCTACTTGTCTGATAACATATAAAAAGTAGGTTGTATCTTTTCCTGTTAGTTTAAGTTTTTGTGGTAAGTCGTTCAATATGTGATTAAAACATTATACTAATAAGAAAAATATTCTCTTACAACATTTCTGGTTTGTACACTCTAAATAATCCATTTCAATGAGGGGGATTTATCCTTTTGTATAACTGTTATGTGACATTTTGGGGCAAAGAATTCACATCCGAACACTTATATCTTTTAGTTTTGATATCTATTGTCTTACTCCGTTATAAGTCAGAATCAAATGCTCAACCACTAAAACTAATATTTCTAAGATTTGACTGTAGGTTTCAGAGAAACTTAGTTGACTATCAGAGCCTAATTACACGGTCTGTATATGACAAACAGCTGGATAGCGGAAGGGGTACACTTCTTCACTTGTGTGATGAGGTGATTCAACAAGAAGTAAGTAGCAGGGTAGAATTTTCTCTATTAATGTCTTTATTCATCCTTTCAGTTTTGGTATCTTTTTTAAACATTTAAAACTTCGATAATAGTTCATACTTGGGAGTTCCTTCTGTTGATAAGGAAACAAAAAAAGAAAAATGAAAAAGAGAAGGCATTCCTTGAGAGAGTTAATAGATTTCTAGAAACATATTATGTTCCAATTGCAGCCTTTTTGTCAAACTCAAATAGTAGCAGTTTATTTTTATTATTTTTTGTATTTCAGCTGGTGTTTGCTTATAATGGTTAATCTAACTTAATTACTGTGTGGGGAAAATGTTTAGGAACTGATAATGTCGATTTGCAGGTAAAGGAGGTTATCATTTCATTCTTTATTTTGATGGAGCAGGTAAAAGCTACAAGTAAGGTACAGATAATCTGCACTGCTTTTTTTTTGTTAAGATTAGTCTATTTAATTTGGGAAAACAAAGATTCTGAGGTGCGAAAGATGCATAAATATGGTGCTACTTACTCACAAGTATACTATGATCTGAAGGAGGATCTTGACCAGCAATGTGAAAGACTCCTTAAAGAAGAATTTGGTGAGAGCTGTAATTTTGATGTAGATGATGCTGTTCAAAAGTTGGAGAAGTTAGGAATTGTAATTCAGGTGAGACTTGTCTTCTCAGTTGTTTCTCAAAGACTATGGCTGTCCTATGTTGAATTTTTTATTTTTAATTCGCTTGATTGCTGGTATTCCAATTGCTTTGTTTGGTAATTACTGAAAGAACCAACTTTCTGCAAAAGGACTGGAAGCATGAGTTAGGTGATTAGCATTAAAGAGATGTATCTTGTATGAGCACCTTTTGTTGATTCCAGAAGTGAGAAACCCAATCCTCCATATCCTTTCTCTCAGTCTGTCTTCACATGTTTTTGTCGATTTGGAGTGTCTTCCCTCCTCTGAATGAATCTTAATTGAATTGAACCTCAGGAGAGAACTGGAATGTACACATGTGTGGATCTAAAGCAAGCTAATGAGATCATTGGCACAACCACAGAGGAGGTTGTCCTTAGGGTTAAACAAGGTGGTAAGATGAAAAGGCAGGCTTCTGAGTCAGCAAGCAAAAGTTTCAAGGAGAAAAAGGAAGATTATATCCAATATGCAGATGATGAATTTGACAATCTGCTGCTCTAGGAGCATTTTCTATGAAACTGTTCTGCTTGCAAATTTGGGAAATTTTCTTTCAACAACTGTCAATATGCATCATAACATTGTAATTTATCCAGAGTTTATATTTGTTCTGAAGCCAAAACTTATTGTTTTTGTTCTTTTTCTTCTCTCATATATGGTACTTTCAAAAGTTGTTTGACATATTAGATTCATTTGGTTCAGTTCCTAACTAATGGTCTCCTTATTATTGGAAATTGAAACAAGTTGACTCATTGATCTCAGTAATGCACTTCAGGTTAAATTGTCCATAACTTAAGAACTGAAAAATGAATCAAAAAAATGAATTTCTTTTGCCTACATGCAATATTTCTACAGAGGCTAGCTTGGAGTTGTTGAATTCACAAGCACTGTGCTAGTAAAACTCAGGCAACATTGAGCAAGTAATCACCACTACATTGCCCAGAAATGGTTCGAATTTCCGACTAGCCGGTGGTTTTGCATTCTACAGATCAAGTTGCTGAGCATTTGTTTTACTATCTTATCAGTCTTTGATCAGTTCTGCATAAAAGAACCAAAAAATTCCATTATGAGAGAAATATTTCAAGCATTAGAGAAAAATTGATTGCAGCCAAAAGAAATGAGATCAAGGTACCTAATCTGCTACCTCGGCCAGAACCCGGAGGATCACTTGGTGAGGATACCAGCCACATGAATTCCATGAGCAGGTGGTCGCTGCAGCCTGCAACAATCTGAACCAAGAAATTTCAAGGTCAGCTCACTTTTTTTTTTAATCATGCAAGTAGTTACACTATATTAACCATACTCTCTTGATATTAGCTGTAAGGCCTGAAAATATTTTGCATGCACATTGAAGTGTAAACAAATAAAGCCATAAAGGGCCCCTAAATTCTTTGGCAGGAACAGGCAGCACAATTTTGGTTCATTCTATGATAATGTAAGTGCTTCCTTAATCATTACTTAAGGGCAATCAGATCAAAGATTCATTATATGATAACGCTCGTTCATGCTCTTTACCAAGGTGTACCTAGATTATTTCTTTACCAAGAAGCAATATTAGAAGATCTCGTTGAAGTAAGGCCAGGAAATGCCATAAAGAACTTCTGGACATGGGTGAGCTTACCTTGCAAATAATATGCTGTAGATACGGGCAGCTCCCGCTTAAATATTGCCTGCAGTAAATTTTGATGATCTCAGAGTTTCAACTGCTTCAATGTCTCAAGTACCTGATCCATAGATGGACGAATGGGGAGCATCTCTACTGTGCAGACTGATGCAAGCCTCAACATTCCCAATAAATTTTCCTCTGGTCCTGCTTCCCACAATTCTGGTGAGAAAACCTCAGAAGAACGTCCTTCCTTGATCAGCAACCTGGCCCATGCAACAATGTTGAACCCATTTCCATACTCAGAAAAAGACGGATCAAGGGACTTTTTCCCTGATATCAGCTCCAATAGCACAACTCCGAAGCTATAAACATCAGCCTTATCAGAAACCCTGCATGTTGTTGCATATTCTGGTGCCACATACCCGAATGTGCCTGCTACATCTGTAGTGGCATGGGTCTCTGAAACTTCTAAAAGCCTAGCCAATCCAAAGTCTGAAAGGTAGGCATTAAGCTTTTCATCAAGCAAAATATTACTAGGCTTGATGTCCCGGTGAACAATCCGGGGAACACATGTATAATGGAGGTAAGCAAGAGCTTGTGCAATGTCCATAGCTATCTTGTGACTCACTGACCACTCTGAATTTTTGCCCGATTTTTCATGGATGAAAGTTTCAAGGTTTCCACCAGAAAGATAATTATAGATTAAAAACATTTCAGCTTCCCCAACATAACACCCAATTAGGGTTACAAGATTCTTATGTCGAATTCTTCCTAGCGTTCTTATCTCTGCATCAAATTGTTGAAGGCCTTGAAATCGACCAATGGACAACCTCTTCACTGCAACTAAGTAACCTGGGATCAGTTCTGCTTTATAAGTTGACCCAAAGCCACCTGTACCAATTAAGTTCCGGATGCTGAAATTTCCTGTAGCTCTAACCACACTATCATAATCCAGTTCAACTGGAGCATCTGCAAAGGTCACCAACGTTTTTCCTCTTAGGCTGGCAAGTCTGCCAAACTTTCTCTTTCGAAGAAAAATGATGACAACTACCAATAGGAGTATGCAAAGCACAATGACAGAAGAGGTTGCAACTGCCACTACAAGATATTTCAATTTTCTCTGACGCCGTTGCTTCTGAATGTCAAGTGGGACTGGAAGTGTGGATGAAGCAGAGGATTGTTCAGGGCAAGGATCCAAATATCTATTTCCTTTGAAGAAACCACAGTCATCCTGATGCTGAAGTTGAGGTATGTGACCAGAGAGGTTATTGTAGGAAACATCCAGTATAGAAAGATCGGAAAGTGAGGAAAACGACGAAGGCACTTCACCATAAAGCTTATTGTGGTCTAGTAACACAACTTTAAGATTTTTTGCATTTGTCAAGTTTGCAGGGATGTATCCTGTTAGAGCATTATGAGAAAGATCTAAAACAATAAGAGAATCCAACTGGCCAATTTGAGAAGGAATTTCTCCAGTTAAACTGTTCCCTCCAAGAAAAACCCATTTCAGATTTTTCAAAAGTCCAAACTGACCAGGGAGAGCTCCAGACAGTCTGTTTCCCCTTAAGTTCAGCCGTTGAAGCATCTTCAACTTGTCAATATCAGGAGGAACCAATCCATGTATCTGATTTTCTGCTGCCTCAAGTTCGATTAGCTTCATACAGCCAAGAGGTAACACCTCATGAATCTCACCTGATATCTGGTTTGCACTTAAATTAACTGAGAAACTCACCATATCATCACATTTTGAAAGCAGATCAGCTTGAAGTGACCCATTAAGCATATTATTATTGAGCAACAATCTATAAGACAATGCATGACTATTAACCAAGATCCCATCGCCTACTGAGAATAAAGGTATTGAACCAATAAACCTATTCCAACTAAAATCATGGGAAATGACAGGGTCATCAATGTCACCCG